TAACTCAGATTGAGAAAGACTTTTGCTCATATGTGATATCAGATTCATCATTCAAGTTTCTGTCTCTAAAATTGTTTTGGATTGTAAAAACGATTAACAAAATACTGTCATTGTGATATTTGTTATGCTGCAGACTCCTTGTTTCACATATGTTGTGCAGGAGGAACGATTAGTTTTGTCTTTAACTGTGTTCAATGATTCACTTTTACCACGTTAAAATGGTTCTTAACTATATTGCATGTATCTGCATGCATGGCTATTTATACTGATGATGCCAACACTTTAACTTTATTATCCACCATTTTGACCTTCTGTTAAATGCATTAAAGGTTAAAGCACAATTTTAGCCTGAAACACAAGAATGATCTTCCTCTTCCCCTTCGAAGCATAATTGCACAAATAAAATGCAAATTCAATTACTGCATATTGTAATGTATTTAAAATGCACTTTTTGTAACAAACCAGGCTGTTCTGCTCGCTATCAGTATTCTGACACAAATCCACATGAAATAACTTAGCCACCTGCCAATCGCATATTGCTAACTAAATGTAAATGTGTGTTGTTGATTTCCATTACGTAGTTTATTTGTTACTGGCAGGGGTTATGATTTAATCCAGATCAACCCAAAGCCAAGACTTTTATGCTGCAAATATTAATTTAAAATGTATTTATATAAAATGTCCCCCTCTACCTCAAACCTTAACAAAGGCATCAAGTTCAGTGCAGAATTAAATACCAAGGTTTGACAGGCAGTCAGCCAATTTACCATCTGACAGGAGGCAGCTGTCGCTACTTATGATCCTTATACTGGACAGCTGCACTCCTCTCTATTTGAACATGAGTTCCCTTTATAGCAGAAGTGTGCGTTAGGAGAGTGGAGTACAAGTGAGACCCCACACTGGAGCCCAGCGAGGAAGCCCAGAGAGAGAGAGAGAGAGATCTGACGAATCATCCAGAGCCTTAAATGCAGAGAGAACAGCTCTCTGTGCCAAGGGAGGAAGGCAAAGAGATAAACTAAAGAGCCGAAGTTTAAAGTTGAGGCAGGAAGCAGCTCAAGAAATACAGCAGAAGACTAAAAATATTTTTGCTGAACTTGGGTTTTCCATTTATTTGATGTATAGAAAAAAAGAGCATGTTGGCATGTAGAGAGGTTTCCCTCTGTCACGCTGGCCATATCTTACCAGACAGTAACATAAGGATTTCCCATACTGATCACCTGAGAAGCTTAATGCCCGACCCAGATTCAGCCTTTTCACTTGTTCTATGAGCGTTCACATATTCCCCACCAGCTGTTATCGCTATGGATAATGAAACAATTTGAATCTGCCCTTAACTCATTCACTTCACACCACTTGGGTGTTGGTGTACCTCTACTTCGTTTTGTACTGTTACACCTTCTTCCTCGCTCCCTTATTGTTGTGTCCTGGAAGGTGACATAAGAAACCTGGAGAGCGAGGAATACAATATGGGCTTCCCAAAGAAACATAGTAGCAGCTGCGAACTAGAGCCTGAACTGGAGTTTTTAAAAATTAATGCAAAAATATAAGTAGGACAGATACTTGGGCAAGTTGTCATAAGATTATTAATGTCCGAAAAGACAGGTCCTTGGTTTAACATCTCTGTCACCCACCTCCAATGGTCTAGTGTCCCTGGTCAACATACGGAAGTGTTGGTTTTGAAATTATTGGCCAGAGACAAGAACGCCACCTACTGGCCCACAGACACCATATGCAAAAGCAACCTGGATTTCCTTGGAGGTCTTTCATACAGGTACTGCCAGTGACAAGATACTGACCAAACTCAGCCTTGCTTGGCTTTTAAGATGTGACAAGATTACTTTGCAGTAAAATGGACATGGTTTATGTTTTCTACAAAAGCTCTATTTTCTTTCACCAGGTAAAAGAAACCACCATTTTGATTAGGATGTAAATATATTGTCATAAGTGTTGATTAAAATAAAAACTAAAAAAAACTAGTAAGTCCAAATCATATGAAGGTGTGACAATACCAGTAATAGAACTAGTTTTTCATTTTTGAAAACAAGACTATGCCACTATGCTACAAATGCAGTAACATCAAAGTTTTGCAAAAGAAGTTGTGTTTGGTTAATGACAGGAGACTTGTAGGAAAATAATATATTAATCAAATGAAATGTTTTTGGGAGTGTGTGTACAATAGGAAAGGTCATTTGATTCATAAAACAACTATGAAAAGAATGACTATAACAACAAGTGTCTCTTTGTGCAGTAGCAAAACAATGTTTTGACAATGTCCTCAAAATTCCAAATTCTGGCCATTAGGGGGGGTTATCCCGAATCAACAATAGGGCATACAGTACATGAAAAGGTCTTTAGAACATATAATATTAACAACCTTATTTTTATATAAATGTAAAATATATTTTATGTACTTTGGTGACATTTTCATTAGTCCTAAATGTTAATATTTCAGAAAAAAACACTAGAAAGCCACCACAGATGTTGTTGATTCAGTTACCAGCACTGTGTCAAGAATGCCATCAACTTAACTCAAGCCCTAATTCAACTCATTCAAAAGGCTGCATTAGATCTGCCACTTAAAATGTAGGTTTGTTTCTTAATCAGGTTCAATGGCATACAAAGAAAGGATGAGTCATCTTTTGTTATTAAATACAGTGTTGAGGAATGCAATAGTAAAATATCAGACTTCTTCATCTAAAACATGCCATGTTTTCTGATATATCACAGATTTCACTGAACTGGATTTTTGAAAAAGAAATGCTGATAAACATCTGTTTCTAAAAGTATACTGCAATGACTCATTTTCCTAAATTATGACCAGCATATAAAAAATTAATTCCTGGTAAATTTATATATTGATAGATTTATATATCCTGGAAAATGAATATATTGTAATCAGTTGAATTAAAAAAATTGTAGTCTTTAGTTTTTATCAGAGGTGAATCAGACATTTAGTAATCTGCTGTGAAAAATAGTTTCACTTTAATTTACTGTTGTAGATATACTGCAGTTGTTGGATACATTTTTACAGCATTAACTTTTGGAAACCATACTGGTCTCTAATTATGTACAGTAATTTCTTTGCTGGGTCTCTATTATTAAAACTCTCATTTTAAAAATCTGAGAAAATTTAAGAACCATAAACTACAGTATGCATCTAATTAAAATTATTCTTAAAACAATTCTGCAGTGTTCTTGCATCTTACCAATCATTTATATTTTGTTAAACAACAGCCCATCTGAATTTTAAAATCAATATTACAGTATATCTACAGCCAAACAGCAGTAGACAGACTGCAGGTTAGGGTTGTGGAATTATAACTGAAGGGTAGTGGGCTCAAATCTCAAGTGAGATACTACTGTTGTATTCTTGAGCGAGGTACTGTACTTCTCCTATGGATGCAAATGTAGGTCGCTGTGAATAAAAGAGTCATCCAGATAAATAAGTAATAATGTCCTTTCTGGAATTTATGCTCTGTGTTTGAGCAGTCTATGACTGCATAGCCCACACAGAGCAATAAAGAAGTAAACCCTTTGCTATACAGTAGGTGAGTCATTAAGTGGTATCTAACCTAGCTGCATACTGTCCCAGACTCCCAGCACAGTACGTCTGGTTATATTTCTATTGCTTTTTTTTCAAAGCAGTCGTGTTTTCTTTGTCTTCTTTTTATTTATGACGGCGCAAATTGCATTTTGTTATTCAGGAATACTGTCAAACTAAAGCTTCTAGCGCTGTCAAGGTGTCAAGGAGACATACCCTGCCTGTCTGTGGAACGCCCTGTGGCGGAAGAAAGTCCTCAGTGAGTTTCCGTAGGGACCGCACTGCGGACTGAACCACGCCCACATGCCGGTATCGGAGACAAGCCGAAATGCAGGGGATGAATGAATGATGAAGTATTTCACCGTGTGAGGCAGGCGCAGCTGTATGTTTCAATCACCTTCTAATCTTAAGAGTTCATCTTTTATTTTTTTGCATCATATTGAACAGTGTTCCATTATTCAAGTACCTTAAGTGCATCTCAAAAACACAAATGCGTAACACAATAACCACTGAAACACTGTTCAGACTCAGTTTATCTGCAACAAAGGTGAATATTTACTTGAATGATTATTTACAGTACAGCTTTACATTATGAAATGTATTAAAATGCCTAGTACCCATGCATTTGAAATACCCCTGGGACATATTTTACATTCTAATTAGAACAGATTTTCAGAATTTCATTTTAGAAGAAAAATAATGAAAAACGTGACCAAATTAATCATGTTTGTCTGTTATGATAAAAATAGTTCTTAGAATTAAATCCCTCAGAGTATAAAACACATAGAAAACAAACGTAATGTCAAATGAACAATAACGCAATCTTGAAAGGTAGTTCCAATAGGTAATGCGACAAAGAGCTTATTCAACACGAATTTCGGAAAATACTTAGCGACAGAATACTAGAAACAAAATGCTGAATCATGAATGCGCAGCATCAAGTTAGAGTCGTCATTCGCAACATGTACTAGGATGATTCACGCAGTTTTAATTTATTTGAAAGTCTATTCAATTTCATTTTTGATATAATAGCTGCTAGTTGCACATCACCTAACTGGAAAGAATGCACTATAGGCTGATGCCATCTGTTTGATTTGCGGCACCCGCAGATTTACAGTTACCGAAAGGGAGGGGCTGTGCAGCAGTTTTAACAATACAAAGATAAACAATGAAATAATAACGATATTTAAGAGAAAAGTCAATCGCATAAACTGCAAACGGATCCAAACAGAACTATATACTGAAAATTTTATTAGATGCACAGCAGAGGTTTGTTCAAGGTTACACTGAAATTATCTAAAAAGCAGAAATAACCTCTAAATATAATTTAAAAACCATTTTTTGAGGCGAATCTGCCATTTAGGTTGTTGTGTCTTTAGCAACGCGCAATAAAATAATTTACTTTTTTAACTTTTTTTTTAGTATATGAAATATTGAATTGCACACACTCCCTTCTTACCTCTTTCTATATCTGCAATGGCACATCTCAGGTGATCCTCGCTAACAATTTCTCCGATAACCACAAGGAGATAGAATTTATTGTCGAGAAACCGGTGAGAAAGGCTTGAAGATGAAGGAGAAGATATCAAATTGCCACTACAAGTAGGCTCGGTGTCTGCCGTTTCTACTAACGACGCCATCCTCAGCCCCCTGTCCTCCTGAATACGAGAACAGAACAGCTACCACCAGACGGGGAGTAAGCTTGGAAGGAGTGGTTCGCTCTTTTTATACCCCAGACGTTGTGTCATGCTTAGGACCCAGGGAGGAGAGAATGCATTGGCAACCACGGTGCTTTTTTTTTTCAGAACTGATGTCATCTGCAGCGAATCAAACCCCCCGGAAGCAAATACATGAGAGAACTAAAGGGGTATTCAACCCCCAAATACTGAAATATACTGTATACATCTACTTTTCTCCCTTATAATCATTTTCAATATTGGATTGCATATTGTGGTATTGTCATACACTGTAAATGAAGAGGAAAAACAGCAGCTGTAACAGAAGTGGTAGACATGGTTAATGACTGCATTGTTACCCAATTTGTCGGACCACCTATAAGAGGAAAAGCTTGTACTGATCTCCTCTTTTCAGACAATCAAGACAGACTGGGGTAAACTGAAGTGATAGAACCATTAGGAAACTGTGATACAGTATAGTGTGCTTTGGAGTATACCTTGAAACTGTACTTACGAAGTCCACAACCACATCAGATATTTACAATTTCAGGAAAGCAGACTTTGAAGGGATGAGGCAGATCACATAAGAAGTGAAGTGGGGAAGGACAGGTATGGAATCAGTGAAGAATGGATGGAAAAAAATGTAAACAGAGTCTCCTTGAAGCACAAAACAGATCCCAAGAGTGTGTAAGACAAAAGCTAATAAATAGTATTCTGAATGGTTAGAAAAATCAATCAGAAAAACTCTAAGGGAAAGGAATGGACTTTATAAAATAATTAAACATCAGGATCCAGTTAAAGACATGGAGCACAAGGAACTGCAAGTACAGATGAAAAGGGATATTAAAAAAGCCAAGAGAGATATTGAAAGGTATTTTGCAATGGAGGCTAAAATAAATAATAAAAAAAATATTTCAGTACTACAACAGCAAAAGAACCATGATGGGAGAGTAAAATGTATCCCAGTAAACTGTTAGTAAATATAGATATTAAAAGATACAGTAAATGGCTGATGTGCTAATTGAGTATTTCATTCAGGTGTTCACTAGGGAAGAAACCAACAACATGGCTACATGACTCAGGCAGAAGAAGAAAACACTTATTTATTAATAAATTGCCAGGCCCTATACTGACACCAGAAACCATTGACACAAGGCCTTTAACAGTCTCTCAAGACCCTGAACTGAAAAATTGTCCAAGTAGTGCCCATCTACAAGACGGGAGGCAAAACTGACCCAAGTAATTGTAGGCCAATAAGACTGACATCTGTCACATGAAAGGTAATGAAAGCAATTATTAAAACTAGAATCTAGATGTTCACCTATAGTAAATAGAAAGAATTCCTAGGTAACAGTCAATGTGGATTTAGTAAAGGTAGGTCTTTCCTAGTTAGAGGTTTTTGAACTAAGAACAACAATAACAGATAAATGCAGAGCAAACAGTGTCTGATACAATGTATGTGGATTTTCAGAATGCTTTTGATAAAGTGCCTAATAAAAGATGAATTCTCAAATTACAGACAGTAGGCCTGATAAGGGGTGAATGCTCAAATATGGGGGATGCACCTGTAATTAGGGGACTACCAAAGGGATTTGTACTGAGACCTCTAGTCAGGTTTGCAGATGAAACCAAAACAGAGAACAGCAAACACCGTAGAAGCACAAATGAAGTTCCAAAATGTCAGCAGTGATATCTCTCTGCAATTCGCAACTGGCGACCCACTGAAGCTAAGCAGGTGTAAGCAGGTGTGATGGTAGACCTCCTGGGAAAGCTAAGGCCACTGCTGGAAGTGTAAGGCATGCAGCACTGTTGTAGTTAATGGACCCTATGCGGAGTTCTGGAAATAGGTCAGAAAAGATGTTAACGAGGAAAGTAATCGGTACTACCAACGCCAAATCGCTAGACGATAAATGAAGTCGAGGATGCGCGAGAGAGAAAGGCGAGGCAAGGCGTTCCTGAGGAACTTCCAATACTGAGCAATGAAATGAGGGTAGGAGAGGGTTTAAATCTGTCGGGATGTGGAGGGTGCAGTAACCGTGAGCTGTCCTGATTGGTTAATGGATCTGAGCGTTTGCAGGGATTGCCTGCAGCTAGTGCTTGATTGGGGCAAGACCGTTTGTGTGTAGGGTTATTCAATTACTTTGGGTAGGCTAGATTAGGAAAGTATTACTGTACATTTTTTCTAAATGTATCCTTTGAGATAAGAGATACATAAATTCAGTCTGAATTGGAAAGAGGATCCCATTGGGACAGTTCATTATGGGATAATCACAAAAAGCAACAATGGGTAATTTTCTTTTCACAGTCAATCAGAGGCTAGTTCATTTAGAAAATGCTGCATGTTCCCCATAATTTTCTACAAAAATTAAAATAGCTTTAAGTCTGTTTTGCCTTTTTCCTGTTTTATTATGAAGTATTTTAATATGACAGAGAACTTTGTGCTTTTAAAAAAGTGTAGTACGAGGGTAAAGTGATGTTGGCATATTCCCGGAGTCACAGACTCTCTGTGGTTATTAAAAATCCCAAAAGTAGGGGTGTAACCCCGGCATCCCAGCCAAATTATCCTTGGCCTTTAATGGCCTCCTAATAATCTATGAATTGGCTTCATCACTCTGTTCTTCTCCCCACTGATAGCTGGTGTGTGTTGACCATTCTGGCGCACTATGGCTGCTGTCGCATCATCCAGATGGGGTTGCTCATTGGTGATGGAGTGGAGTTCCCATTACCTGTAAAGCACAGTGGAGTGTCCAGCAATAAATGAGTGTAAGGAATTATTATTATTATTATTATTATTATTATTATTATTATTATTATTATTATCCAGAAACTGTCACGATCGTTACTCCTCCTCTTAAGGGTGCTCCAGCCCTTCCTCGTTTCCCCCATTGTTTACACCTCTTCCTTATTCCAGCCCCTCTTTAGTTCCACCTTTAAAGCCAGACGCAGCCATTTGCCCGAGGCTTCTCATTGAATCCCATTTCGTGAGAGCCCGGGGTCCAGGAATATCTGTTCCTGATCCCCTGCCCCGCCGGTCCTGACCCGGTTCTGGTTTTTAATTATTTTGGATCCCCTGGTCTTGGACTCTGCCTCCCGTATTGGACTTCCCTTTTGGATTTATGCTTGGATTATTCGCCCCGGACTCACTTCCCCTGGACACCTGTTCACCTTGGACACGCCCCCCTGTCTCCTGCCCCACTCCTGCATGATATTTTCCCCTATTGTTTCTTCACTTTCCAGATTGTGTCGTCCGCATAGGGGCCAGAAAGAACTGTTCCTGACAGAAACTCCTGTTGAGGTAACATGAGGGCTCGTCTCAAGCAGTTTTAATGGTCCTGGGTGCTTCTGTCATTCCTAGTAATTTAGTAGAGAGTTAGCTGCATTTAGAATGAAACCAAGTTTTACAAATGCAATTTCCTAATGGACATTCAGTGAAATAAAAGAACAAAGAGTGCCAGTGGGTCTGGTCAGTTATCTGAATTTTTTTTCCTGGCACTTCACCCACACATTTGTGTCCTTTTGAGGAAGGCCCCAAGCTTCTGAAGGAGACCACAAAACCTCCGTAAATTAAGAATCGAAAGGCTTTCCTTAGTGTTTCTTAATCATTTAATTAAAAGATTTTAGATTAGTTTCGGGTCATCGACTGCCTGTATGAGCCCTGAAAAATCTGGATAACAATGCTTGTGCTTATTAAGTGTATCTGATTAATTAATATACAGCACTTTCGACCATCTGCCACACACTGACACATATTAAAAAGTTTAAAATACTGACAGCAAACAGTGCTGTCCTTTATAACTCTTTTATAACTCATGGACACATTCCTGTGGTTGCCAGAGGTGTTATCTGCTACTCCAAAAGCCAAATTTCAGATTGCATAACAACTTGAATATAATTCTGTATAGTTCACCTCTCCAACCTTTAAACAGTACACTTGTAAAGTAAAAGATGTGTTGGTCTGATTTTTTTTGGTCAGTGGCTTCTAAACAACTCTAACATTGATATTGTTTTCCTTCACGATCTTGAAAGGAATCAACATCTTCTTTATCGTCTTAATAGTTGGCTTCTTCAATCCAGTGTTTTCCATCTTGTATATTACTTATATTTTTGTTAACTACAAGTACTGTAACATGCCATGCGTTCATTAAATGACAACAGCCAGGTGTTTTATGAGTTTTGTCTAAGGTTTTCTGAATTTAATTGCTAGCTATTTTCTTGAATTTTCATTTTCATTATTTTCTAATGCTTTTAACTCTATGATACTGTATTTTCCAAACTTCAAACTCCAAACTAGTTTACCACTACTGTAACTATACCATAACCTAGATAATTGAAATCAAATTGAAGAGCAGTGGATCTGACACAGATCCCATGGTGGTTCACTCATTACATCACCCTAATATGAGTATTCACTCCTTATTTTTCTGTTTTCTAACTGCCAATGTCTATGACCTTCAGTTTAAAAATGATCCTTTTAAGCCAAATGTCATCAAAGCCACTTTTGAAAGTTCACATATAAATATAATTTATATGTATATAATACTACATCATAAGCTTTGAGTACTTAGTAGAACTCTAATTGTCTCCTCGTTTAGTTTTATTTTTAACCTTCATAACATCGTATGCAATAGATGTAAGATATATTGATCTATGATAAGTTAGATTATCATTATTGATCTAGATCGGTTTGATTTAGACACATCTTAGTGAAAAATGTGCATTAACATTCTATTTATTTTATCCTCTGACTCATTCTTTGATATCTTCTTTCCAGAGATATGACTCTGCCTCTATACTTTTTAAATATACCTCAAAGTATTTTCTGTTATGATGGTAGTTTCCTAATGGTTCTATCACTCCTGTTTTCCTCATTCTATCTTTATTCTTTGAAAGGTCTGGCCCGTCTACTGTAGTTTAAAACCCTTGATTGATTTAGGTTATTGTGTTTTTGATATGATATGTTTGCAAGGCTCTCCTGGAACACTATGTAACCACAAATGCTAGATTTTACACTTTTATTATCTGGCAGTTTTGGTTCAGTGATTCCAGTGACATCACAGCAAAATTTTACCTCT